TCTTGGCTCAACTACGCAGTGGCTACTCAATGCTCCTTCGCCAGTGCCAAAACCGGTTCTACCCGTCCACATCCCACAGCTGTCTCGGTTGTGGCGTCTCTCTGCAAAACAGTCAACATCTTTTCGCCTGCAGTTTCCGGTCATGCATCCAACTCACCTTCGCGGACCTTTGACTCAAGCCGCTCGAGGTCTCGGTTTTTCTCCTTCTTCCAACTACAAAGAGTTTGGACTCCGGTGGAGGCTCCTGATCCAACAGGGGCTACGAAACACACGTGACCGATTGCTCTGTTTAAGCAAAGTCTCAGGATAGAATATGGGCAAAGCAACTAATTGCGCTTGGTTGTTACCTCTTGCGATGATTTCGGCCTCTTTAAACTTGAAAATGTGGCCAGATTCCGTCCAGCGAGCTGCACCCTACGCACCTTGTGCGTCTATCATCTATAGTTGCGATTGTCTCTGACGACGGGCTAGACCGAGAATCCGAAACGTTAGACCAAGAAACGTCTTGTTCCAGTGATTACATCTCCCCCTTCTGACTCGCCTCCTGGAACTCGCCTGGTCGCTTTTATCAGTAACTAGATGACCTTAGAAACACGTGAAGCGCTAGGGGGGACCACTGATTATCCGAACCCCATGCAGCCCTGTTGCACAGGGCCAGAAGATCGATTGAATACGTGTGTGGACTCCTAAGACCAAGGCCGATGAAATACCTACATCATATCCTGCAAGCATGCCTGCACGTCTGCGCAGTCCCATCGCACAGCGTCTTACTTTAAAATCTTTCACGGCTTTCTCATCATCCGAGACCAATAACTAATCATACTAAATTTCGTTCAAAACTGTGGTAAAAAATTGGGACCAACATCTGGGAACTAAGTAAATATTGGCAAAAACACGTAACTAGTTTCTTGGCGGGAACTTACAGGAGTAATTTCTGCATCACATACATCACGACCTCACACATTGACTGGAAGAACTCCTTGAAGGGCACACCCCTCTCATTCACTCTGTTTATCCCAATTCCAAAAAGAACGGAGCAGAAGAGAACGCCTAAAATGCAGATGGGACCAATGATGCTATTTCGTAGAAAGTTGAAGTATCTCATCGATATAAGGGACAGGTGATCGTGTGAGGGTAATGGGATAGTTTGTGACGAGGTAACCTTGTAGTGATCCCAGTTCGCGATCAACGATCCACCTTTCGTCTCTTTTGCGACAGATAGCACATGCGCACATGTAAGCTGATCTCAGTCCGGTCTGGCCAACCATCCCTCTGAGAGCGACTCACACATGACCTCCTTTTGACCACTCCTGCGCTCTCAGGCTTCGGACCCAACCCCCTCGCGGTTGGACGTGTCTTTTTACCTGACTTCTCACTTGTCCTCTTCCCACAAGGAACCTAAGGGCCTAATGATCGCACCGACAAGAATTCTCCCTATCAAATCGACCCCCTGGTGCGCCGGTATGTCTTCATTCTGACGTAGAATGTTTTGATACGCTTCTTCTTCTTCTTCTTCTTCTTCTTCTTCTTCTT